ATATATGCCTGTATACATTAGTTAAATTATGAGAGTATTGATGAAAGTTGATTGTGATGATTAATGATGTCATATCATGGACCTATTAATAAGGTCCATGTTCATATTATGCAGTGTTTTATGATGATGTTGAATTGCAGCGTTACTATGTTGTCTCTCTGTTCAGGATTAACCCACGTGTTGGTGCCGATTGCGACTTTTGTTCGTCAGCTACAGTGTGATGCAAGTATTGTAAAAGTAGGCCTAAGACTGTTTCGATGAGATTGGAATTGGAGCGTTTCTCTATGAACAGTTGCTGAGTTACAGTATCTTGCCGATCGAATATATGTTTATAAACGTCTGTTTAGACTAAATCTTTATTCAAAGAGTAAGCCTATCTGTTCAATGGAGTTGTTTCTTAATATTATTGATGGTATAATTTATACTGTACTGTTCAAAGTAAAATATGTGGTAAAAAACTAAGAAAATCAAAAACAATCCATTAAGGAAATTGTAATAAAAACAGTTTGGATCTCTCTACTTAAATGAATCGCACTATATATCATGTCAATTATGAAAACGAGCGATATTGTATTGATGGTTTAAAGTTAAACACATGTTGGAACTTGGATAATAACTATGTATAATCGAATCGTCTTTATCATTGTTGAGGCTTAGGCACTAACTCGGCTTCATTTAAAAGCAAGTTAGCAAAAATATAACGTAATTTATGACAGCAGAGTAAAATAAATGTTGAACCAAAAAGTTCAGTGGCGTACAGACAACTCATGGCCGTGTAGGGGCCCATGAACTTCAGTAGTATTCGCTAACCTAAGCACTTTACGAATATTCAGGCTCAAAAGACAACATTTAAGGCAATTGGAGATAGAATTCCACTAGTGTTTTATGCCCTCCCCCTTATTTACTTGGTTAATTGTTTATTCGTTCTTCCTTCATTCATGCATTTTTTACTGATTAACATATTCATTCAATCATAGATATACAGTATTATGTATTTATTATTTAAGTATGTATCTTTAATACATCATACAAGGAAGAGCTTCAAACGTCATTAATCAAGAAGATGCGAAACCATTACTCTGTAATATTCTATATTAAATACAGATGTTGCAATCTTCACATAGTGATACAGAGTTATCGAAACGTTCCAAATCGCTGATCGATTCACTTGTCCAAATTACAAAATGAAACCATAAATAAATACAAATAATAAATGATAAATTGTCATGAAACATGACTTTTATTGGTGTACCAAATAGAAACTCATTTTATTGTTAGACGATTAAAACTGAAATTTCCTATTTCCTTTTTCTTTTTGTTTGTTATAGTGAATGAAACACCTGAACTGCCAAAATCACATTGTGAAGGGTATTTAAATTTGAATAGAGAAATATTTATTTATGAGACAATTTATTTATGAGACAATTAAGATACTTTGAGATATTAAAAGAACATTTGGAATTGATAAGACTGTAAAGGATTTCCATTGTTGAAATGAAAACAAAACATTGAGATATAATTGATTTAAATTATGTTAATAAACTGTTTTGCACAACTTGAACTTAAGCTTACCGGTATATATATTATCTTTCTATAATTTCCTATGCGATTTGCAGCTTTTCTTTGGCCTTTTACAACCCCATTAAAGGTCCATATGCACAAGGGTAATCTCACTACTACAATAATGTTGCATGCTAATTGTAAGAAGCGGATGTACAAATACGCGACGATGAAGAACATTAGGGCATTGGAAAGGGAGAATAATGGTGTAGTTGAAAAACTAGCAGAAGACTGGCAACAATTAAGAACGCCCGGTAAGCCTAGCCTTTATTTTTTTCCGTCCATTCAAGTAGTAGCAGTAGCACTTGCGGCAAGAAAGCCTGGTAAAGCATCTCTGAGGGTCGTTAGTTGTGTCACTAACACATACGTACAGGTCATTCGCCAGCGACAATGGCATGAAATGTTGGGGAGACTTCTAAAGGATTTGGAATCATACGTGTATATACATGCCCCAAAATAAGAATAATAATTCTGTAACGTTTCCTTTGTACCCGCTCACTACACTAATTTTAGCCGAGGCCTTTTCCGTTCCATTACCGTTATTGTCATATTTCGTCGCCAAATCCATTTTTTGTACATTCCTCTCTTTTTTTCACTGTACGTCATAGCTTCGATATTGTTTGACTTAAAACTTCGATCTGAGTGTACTCATTAGGACAGGAATCTGTAAGAGTTTTAGGATTGATAGGCCTATTTGTTTTTCTTTCACATATCCATGGGTCATTAGTAATATAGTACATAGAGTACATCTTGTAAAAACACCGCCAAATTTGAAATTATTGTGTGGGAACACTAACGGGAAGGCATAAGTCACTCCCTCCATTATTAGCAAGGAAATTTCCACCTCTCGGGAACTGGTGGTGCTGGTTTGAAAACGTTTTATAGATAGGTATTTACATTAGCCTTAACTGATGCCGGCCGAATTCTGCCACGAAGGAAAGACGCCGAAGATGTAACCATTGATGATATTTCATCTTTATTACTTGTCTTCATAAATTCCTTCTTTATTTGCGATTCCTGCATAATCAACTTTCGTCAGTACATAGGTAATAGTCGCGAGCGTGCGTCGGCGAGGTACTATGCCCATAGAGAAAATAGTGTTCCCAATCTCGATAACACGAGCTTTAATAGTTTGCTGAGAGTTAACCTGATGATCCCATCAGAACCTGGT